ACAGGGCAGACCAGCTCTGTGCAGGACAGAAAATCCGAAGCAGAGTCTGTTCCTCTTCTGGTGGTTCACTCTGTGGTTGGAAAAATCTTTGAGGCTGAAAACACACCATCTTTAACCTCAAGAATTTTCAAAACCCAGGAAATTCCAAAGTCAAGGTTCCTTTTGCAATAATCACACATTCTGTTTCCTTGATTTGGGTACACTCGGCCTTCTTTCCATTTTGTCCAGGGCATACCATAGAGAGCACAGAGCGTGAACAGCCTGGAGACACGCCTCTTGCAGACTCCCGCCTCCTGAACATTCCGGCTTCGCACTCCCTTGCACGGGAGAGCTGTCTCCCTCTCAGTGCTCACTCTTATTTCTCACGCTCAGCTCAACTCCTGGGGCTCTTCGGTTCATTTTGAAATTCTGTACAAAATATGGTCAATGAAGGCTCATTTGTAAGAAAGAAGAATGCTGTCAAGAACTTAGACTAACACTATGAAGGTTAAGGATACAGACATTTGGAGAAGAGTCTCAATAATAATATAAATATATTCACATTTATATCAATATAAAGATCTCAGGATATAAATGTTTTCTCTTTGACGTCCCAAAATGCAGTTGCGTTTTGGGACATCAACCTGCCTACCGTTTATGTCGCCCCTTCCCAGAAGGAGCAAGCACAGGATCAGCTCCCTGCCCCGGGGGCCCTAGCTCTGGTTACAAATCAGGGTCTCACTGTGGGCACCTCCTGCCCTGTCTCCCCAGGTGAGAAGGGCCCAGTCCTCTCCCACCCCCCACCCTCCACCCTCAGCCTCGCTAACCCTCTCTCCTCTGCGTAAAGCCCAGTCATGCCACTCCCAGGGCCCTCCTGCCAAGTGCTCCTGTCCTCTCTGCCTCCGTCGTCTCGTCCACTGGGCATTCAGTTACTACCCAATCCCACGAATTATCTTTTTGACTTCCCTTTCCTCTGAAAACTCCTTACGTGTTAGATGATATCTTATACTTCTTAATGGCTTCCACGTACTTTGCATATAGCAGTCACTCAATATATTTTTAACCAACTGATAGAATTATAGCTATAGTAGGAAAAATCTAAGACAATGAGATTTTTTTTTTTCCTAAAAATGTTGTACTGGACATTCTCAGTTTGCAGAGTCAGCCCCTGAACAGGAATTAGAACTGTCTTGTTGCGGGTAACGCTCCTTAGGTTTTGCTGTCGAATTGTCTAGATGCTCTTTATAGAGGATCACACAGGTGGGAACAGGAACATTTAGGCCAATTTCCCCTGCAGCGCCCACATGAGCTTCTACCTGTACACTCTTTCAAGTCAGTTTGAGCAGGTCACCAGCCTTTGTGCACAGAAACCTAGGTTCGAATCCTAGTCCCGTCACCTAGAGGCTAGAAAATCTTGGGAGAATCGCTTAATGTCTCTGAACCCCAGTGCCTTCATCTTTAAAACATGGATAACTTGGAGGATTGTAGTAAATGAGATCATATTAGTATTAAAATGCCTGAAGCATAGTAGTTGCTCAATAAATGGTTATTATCATTAAAAGGAAGAGGAGGATACAATGGGAGGAGGAAGAAGAAGGTGTAGAAGTATTTCCTAATCTTTCTTTTCCTTCCATTTTTCTTCTTGAGGCAGGAAATGTCCCCATTAGCAGCTCCTGAGAGAGGTTGGGAATCCCTTTTTGTAGTGCGGTGAGCAAAAAATATTCATTTCTGTCAGTGTGGGATGATTTAGACATGGCCTTGCCCTCAGGCAGGGCAATGAGTACTACAGACACCACAGAGGCAGTGATTTTTCACTTTTACCCAAGAATGGCCCCTGGCACATATTAGGCCCTTGGTAAATATCTGTGCATGGAATGAGCCTCTCCCAGCCCAAGGCCACACGGATGCAAACTCACCTCTTGGCCTCCCCCAACATGGCACTCCACAAGGCCGCTGGTCCTGCCCCTCACATTTACTCCAGCTGATGTTTACAAACACTGTTCCTGTGGCTACAACAGCCTCCAGGGGCATTACCCACCAGAAGTCCTAGGCGATGGGAGGCTGCCATGGGCACACCTGGGCACCAGCAGCCAGCATGGTGGTCCCTGAGTCAAACAGGTGACAACTCAGCAGGTCTAACTTGCAAATAAATGCGAAAAAATGGGAGGCGGGGCCAGCTATTAGGATTTCTCTGATCACAGGCACAGGGGAAAATTACTTATATTCTAGAACCAGGCTTTACTTGAGCAAAGCTAAATAATATGCTTTTTCTTTCCTGATCATACTGGTGAAGAGAGTAAAAATCTATTCTAAAACTTGTCTGCACTTCGATTTTATAGTGTTCCTCTGAGAGGGACAAAATCCTGCCAAACGATCGATCCAAACAGGAATGGAAATAAGCATTGTCTTTGAGTGTTTTTCTTTTTAAAACAAAGAACAGGAGATCAGTAAACAGCAACAACAAACATGAATTATTCTACATATAATGTGTCGCAGCCCCGATTCAGGCAGGGCAGGCAGTCCCCGGTCACAGGGAAGGAAAGCTCTGTGTCCCCAGCCTGGAGGCCACAGGAAGACCCACGAAGGACTGAACAGTTCATGGGTGATGCGTGTGAGGCGCCACTCGACGTGGTTTCACCTCAGAAACGCTGTCATGGCTGGGCCCCCAGATCTAATCCCTCCCTGCAGTGAACAGCGCCCACCGCACTTGGGACGTCCGTCCCTGCCCAAATACGGCACTGTTCTCACCGTTAAACCACACCGCGGTGACTTCTGGCAAGAGCAGTTGAGAGAGTGAAGGCTGAGAGACTCTGACTGTCACTTGATGCTTTTCTGAATTGTTTTAAATGTCTTACAAATAGCATGTATTACTCTATTGTTTAAAAACACATACGTGTGTTTTCTCCACACGAAAGCATGCCCATTGATGAGGGCTGCATCGAGCAGTTTCAGCTGTTTAAACTCTAATCACTTCTCCCCTCGCCTTCGCCTCCCCTGCAGACCACAACCGAAACCCTCGGGAACGGACCTACTGGCTGGAACAGCAGTGATCTGGAGTGGACGAGATTCTCAGCTCTCCAATGGGCAGAGCCTTGTGCAGACAGTTCAGAGGTGAAACCCACACGATTGCTTCATTCTGGTCCTCATGTGGTCGCAACCAACTGGCCCCCAAACCAGAGGCACACAGGCCCTGATAAATTCAGGGAGTCTGTTTGCTGAGCCTTTCTCGGCAGCCTGGGAACACCCTGAGTCACTAGTCAGCCCAACCCTCTTCCAGACAAGGCTGGGGAGGGCTGCAGGGCAGGGCTGTGTGGCCTTCTCCAGGAGGCGTGTCCTGAGCAACCCTCACAACTGCCACAACCCCTCCTGGAGTCCTGCAGAAGGCAGGTCACAGAGTCCCAAGCATGCCCTCCCCACAGCCACCCCCCTGCCTCAGCCATCCCGCTAACCTGCCCACCTGCCCCCATCTGCCCTGCTGAATGCCCTCCTCCTCCTCCCCAGCTCTCCGTACACCTCAGGGCCCAGTGCACCCCTTCTGGGAGGGGGACAGACCCTAACAGGCAGAGATGAAAGAACAGGGTCATGACAGATCAGTTGGGGAGGAAACAAGCAAAGTGACAGGAAAGAGCTAGTGCAGCATGCACCGGGTGTGGCCAGGGACGCCTCTCCAAGGTCACCTTGATATGGAGACCTGGGGGATGAACAGTCAGGGGCCAGCTGGAAGTGGGGAGGAAGGCTCGGGCTGGGTGGATGGGCCCAAAGGTTCTGAGGCAGGGATGTGTGCACTGGATTAAGGCGCAGAAAGGCTACCCGTTCCCCAGACCTCCAGCCAGATTTAGCCGACAACCCACTCCTCTCGCCACCCTGAGGTCTAGAAGGCACCGCAGCTTTTGCATATCCAAACCAGTGCCCCACACTCTCCATTGCCACCTTGCCAAGCCCTGCTCCTCACCAACTATCCCTCAATTCAGTGACAGGCGACCTCATTCATCCAAATGCTTGGGCCCCAGACCTAGAAGGCATCCTGGACTCCTCCTCCTCTCTAACCTATGGCTTCAGACATCCTGCCACATCTCACCACCTCCACTGCTGTCCTCCAGGCTTAGCCATCGTCACCTTGCGCCTAGGTCACTGCAGAGGATGGAGAACCCACAGACACAGAGGGCTGACTGTATATATACAAATAGCGGTTTATACACACACACACACACACACACACACACACACACGTACATATAGTGGTTCACCAGCAGTGCTACTCCCGTGAGGATGAGTGGCTGAAAGGTACTAGTGAAGGTCTGTTTTTTGGTCTGAATACTGGTTACACTATGTATGGAATGTCTGTTTGTGAAAATTAATCAAATGTATATTTATAATACATGCATTCTTCTGAATGTGTATTTATACACTGATAAGAGGTTTTTCTTTTTTTTAAAAAAAAGAGGACTTCACTAATATGGGATTTACATTTAGATGGTGACATACACCCAACACACACTCCCTTTCTTCAACGTTTGAAAGAGAAAAACTCAGTATCCTCTGCAGTGAGCTATGATCGTGCCATGCTCCAGCCTGGGTGACAGAGTGAGACCCTGTCTTTTAAAAAAAAATTAAAAACCGGCCGGGCGCAGTACCTCACGCCTGTAATCCTAGCACTCTGGGAGGCCAAG